ACATCCTGGTTCCACTGTCTGAGGTCCCTTAGCCTGCTCAGTCCTTCTGGCTCAGACCCATATTCAGGGGGGCCTGAGTCAGAGAAATATCACCCTTTACAATAGCCACAAGCAACATAAAGTATCTTGCTGTAACGCTTACCAAACAATTAAAAGACCTATATAATAAGAACTTTGTGACTCTAAAGAAAGAAATTAAAGAAGATACCAGAAAATGGAAAGATCTCCCATGCTCTTGGTTAGGTAGGATTAACATAGAGAGAGAACATAAAAGAGGGAGCCATTATAGGTTTGCAGAAAAAAAAAAACTGAACCTAGAGAAATATCCAAAGACCTACAAGACTGACACGACTAACAATTTGAGCAACAGTAGAAAGGCTATATCATGGAGCTCTCATCTAGTAGTGGATGGAAACACAAGCAGACACCCACAACTAAGCATTGAGCCAAACTGGTATCCAGATGCAGAGATGGAGGACAAGACCAGGCTGCAGCAACACATAGAGAAACATAAAATGAACACGAAGAAGCTAATTGGCCCCCAGAATGATAGCTGGGAATCCATCATGGAACTGATTCAGACTCCTTGAACATTGGTCTCAGCTAAAAGGCCTGAGGAGTCTAAAGGAGTTCAGAGAGTGGAACAAATATGTATTCTTGGTTTACAAAAGGCCCCTGGGGCACATGCCCAATGGAGGTATACTCCCTTAACCTAGAGACAGAAGAGAAGTCCTAGTCACTACTCCAAGTGATTTGAAAGGTTTACATGATCCCTTTTGGAGGGTTAACTCTAAGTGTGGATTGGAAGGTGAGGGAGGGGAGGTTGGTCGGGGGTGGTTTTGAGAGTGTGGGAGAGAAGTAAAGAGGGGTAGAGTGATGGAGAGGGAAATGGGATCGATATGTAAAATAACAGAAATAAATTAATGTTAAAAAAGAAAATGTAAAAAAACAAAAGAAAGTAGAACAATTCAATACTATAATTACATGATTATCAGAGGGTGATATCTAGATGAAGTCTGTCAGCCTGACATCAAGACACTCAACCAAGTTGCTGCATTCATGATGCAGCAGCTGTGGTAGCTTGGAATACAGCAGAAGAGGCTGTGGCTGTGTCAGCAGTGACAGAGGTGACACCTTCTGCATAGCTAAGAGAGTGCAGCTCCTCACTATCTGTGATGACATCCGAGGTGATGCTGCTTCAGCAATTACTGTTATGCTGATAGCATATTGTGTGCTGCCACTTATCATTCTAATAGTAGAGGGCAGTGAAGAAAAGGATGTGGAGGAAGATCTGTGAGGCAGCAAATGTGAATGTCATACATGGTTTGGTCAGATGGTGGCATTTCCTGTAGGTACAGACCATGTTTTTGCCTGTACTCGATCTCTCATTTTTGGATATATGGCCATCCTGAAAGAGAGAGACAGAGACAGAGAGAGAGAGAGAAAAGGAGGGAGGGAGGATGGCAGAGAGACATATACATACATACATACATGAGCGAGAGTCTTTGGGTCTCTGTTACACTTCACATTTCTAGGAACTTATACTTCCCACATATCTTTACTCAACAAAACCACAGATGTAAGGAGTACGGTTTTTTCCTCCTGCTGCTGGTCTTTTCCTGCCACTGCACCAGCCCCAATTAATGCACTGAGACTCTGTATTTGATATAATTCTGTTGGCCAGGTAATAGTTTCTTATCGGCTAGCTCTGTCTTAAGTATTAACCCATTTCTGCTGATCTATGTATTTCTCTTACCGGGGAGCAGCCAGCAATCTGCTTTCTCCAGACTCTCCATCTTGGCTCCCTCACTACTTCTTTCCTCCTTGTCTCCTAGTCCCTCCTATCTGCCTTTCCTATTGGCCAACAGTGCTTTATTCATTAACCAGTATGAGAAATATATACAGAATGGCATCTCCCATCATCCCCTCTTTTCTGTCTAAATAAAAAAGGATTTTAACCTTAACATAGCAAAATATATCACATAACAGTTATCAAATAAGAATCACAGTTAACACTATTTAGTCCATTAACCATTAGCAAGATTTGAAGAAAATATTCCGTCATCTATCCTATATTTGTGTCTAAAGTCTAAGTAACTTATCTTTAATACTAAGGAAAACTATAACCATAACTATCTGTCTTTATCTCCCTCCAAGGCCACAGAAGGATAATATATAAGCTCTAGAAATGACAGAGACAGCTCACTGCCTAGTCACCCGAAGTTCTTCAGTAATCTTCCATCTTCAGCCCATAGGCCATAGTGTGACTGGCAGATTCTTCAGCAAAGCAGGAACTGCTTTAAACTGTCTTCTTATGTTGGCAGTTTGTCAGTCACTTTTCTTTGCAGCCTGTCTGGCAGACTCTTCCATGAAGCAGGAACTCTGTAGCAATGTCAATCTTGAACCAGCCATCACTTTTCTGTGGGTCCTGTATGTCCAGTTTATTCAGCATAAAGTCAAACAGTCCAGACAAGAGCAGTACCTTGTCCAAATGACTACTCTTGCGATATTGGAAGTAACTTCATAACGCATTTTTTGATGTCCACCTTTTATCTTCCTTTTTGGTGCAGGTGGTGTTGCCAGGAGCATTTATGTCTCACTGTCAAGAAAAACCCTAAACCATTTTAAATGCCATATTATATAGGTCTTTGAAAGGTTTGAAGAATTCTTATCTATCACAAATATATCTGTGTATCTTGAAAGACCTAACTAACTTAACTATAAGTTTTGACTATTATAGGTAACTATCTATATTCTGCACTTCCTGTCTACTCTAGTATCGTTATTTTTCTTCTCAGGTCTTGATGAGGTTTAAGATTAAACTATCAAAACTATTATTCTCTCTTCCTTATTAGATATATTAGGTACTAGAATTGTTTTCCAACTTAGGACAACTCTATTGTAAACTCAATTATGCCTTCACCCTAGGAAAAGATATGTAGGTCATTTTGTTCTCGATTTTTATTTTCTTAGAGCACACTTTGTTATTCACTGTTTTGTATATAGTTTTGTATTAAGCCTAAATCCTATCTTTAGACTGAAAGGGAAATTGTAGTGAGACAGCCTTTCTGTGGAACTGACAACGCCCATTGGGGTGGAGCCATGGGCGGAAGTGACCTGTGAAAGGAGGTCAGAGGAAGAGCTGGGAAAAGCTCTCTTGCTGGAGGGATTCAGACAGGAGAGCATCCGGTGGAAATTGCTGGTGTTCATCTGTCTAGGCTGTAAGATATTTCTCTCTGAATAAACATCTATTCAGCCTATTTTTTATCCTGTTCTTTATTTAACCGCAATACACAGATGTCCCTTTATACCCTCACAGCTGAGGGTATAATGTCCTCAAGACATTTTATAGAGAGTAAGAATGGTAAACAGAAGCAAAGACCCACAAGTAAACACTGTGCCATACTGGGATCCAGATGCAGATAGAGAGAACTAAACCTGGTTGAAGAAACACATAGAGACACAGCTGATCTGAACAAGGAGGCGCTAATAGGCCCACAGCTTGATAGCTGGGATTCCAGCAAAGGACTGACTCAGACCACGTGAACATGGTTCTCATCTAGAAGGCCTGAACATTCTAAGGGAGTTCAGACAGTGAAACAAGAATGTATTCCTGGTGCACAAAAGGCCTTGGTTCTCATCCCCCATGGAGGGACACTCCCTTAGCCTAGACACAGGAGAGAAGGCCTTGTCCCTATTCCAAATGATTTGACAGATTTACATGATCCCTCCTGGAAGGTGTCACCCTACATGTGGAGTGGGGAATGTGGGAAGGGAGGTTGTTTCGAGGGGATGAGAGGGTGCAAGAGAGGTAAAGTGGGAGGGACTGAGAGGGAGGAAAATTGGATCAATATGTAAAATAAAATAAATAAATTGATATTAAAAATGGAAAAAAACAAAAGAAGAAAATGCAATACTTTAATAATCTGATGATCAGAGAATCTTGTCTAATGAACTCTTTTGGGCTGACATCATGACACACAAGCAAGAGCTGTGTGGAAATCATTGTGATTGTCATACACTCATTTGTCAGATTGTGGCATATCCTCTAGGTGCGGATCATAGTGTCATCTTTACTTGATCTCTCATTTTGTGAATAATGACATCCTGAGAGAGAGCAAGAGAGAGAGATTGAGACAGAAAGACAGAGAGAGTGAAGAGTGAGTCTGTGGTTCTTTGTTATGCTTCATATTTCTAGAAAATTTATTTCCCCAAATATCTCCACTCAACAGACCCACAGATGTCCCTTTGAAACCTCATGTCAGATGTCCTCAGGAAAAATTATAGAGAGTAAGAATTGGAAGAGGTTAGGCAAGGTTGTCACCAGAAGGCAGGGGCAGTGGCATTCATAAGGCGATACCTTGTAAGTTATCAACAGTATATAGGAAGGCTTCTATAATTTTTCAGAGTTCATATGAGACCTGTTCTCTTTTGCTTTCCATACCGAATATTGTAGGGAGCCGTTAGATGTAGTGAGCTGTTCCAAGATGGCACCTGCATCCGGCAGGCACCAAATGGTGAACAAGCTAGTGCGCAGGTGCTGGGTAACTTTCCATCCCTTGGGCTCTGCCTCTCCCGTGGTGTCATATGGTCCGAGGAGCTGCAGCGAGTCAGGGGGTGACACATCCGAGGTGGCGGTTGCCATCCTATATAAGGGATGGGTTTTTGGGAGTTTGGGGTCTTCGTTCTGTAAGCTTATGCTCTCCCTCTCAAGAGGCATTAAAACTTTACTGCAGAAGGATCCTGAGTGTGCTGCATCGTTCTTGCTGGCAAGATGGTAGCATGGGACAACTGGTGCCGAAACCCAGGAGTCTGAGACCTTGCCATCGTCAGCACCATCGGAGACCCCTTGACTACAAGGAGGATTCAGAACTGCAGGCAGATACGCTCAGAGAGGTATGTCTTTTCTGGACGTTGGTTTGGGATTATCTCCACTGTGGGAAGGTAGTGTTAAGGCTTTTGTGATTGTATTTGAGGCCCTCTTGATCTTTCTCGCCATTATGTTTTGTTATCACTGTTACCGTAAACTAGGCAAAGATCTTGACTGCAAATGGGCAGACGGAGACTTGAGACTAGGGCCAAAGACGATTTTGAAGCTTGTTAAGAATTGCCTCAAAGATGAAGCCTGTAAGGGCGCCATAGCAGAAGGTAGAAGCACCCTTGAAGAGGTTCAGGATAGCATGTCAGAAACCGAGCGTAGTGAGAGGTTGGGCACACGCAAGAAAAAATCAGTCCCTAAGAAGGAAAAAGCCCCCCTCAGTAAGTCTGATGACAAGGGGGTGTATTTGCCAGACCACAGGGATCCTCCCCCTGTTGTTACATCAAAGGGAGGAGCTGGCTTATACCCTGTATGTGAGCTTGAAGCCTTAAATTTAGATAGCTCCAATGACTCGGAAGAGTCAGGAGATGAGGTTTTAGATACTGAGGAAGAGGCCGAATTAGAAGAAGAGGCTGCTAGATATGAGGAAGAAAGATACCACCTGGATGGTTATGGACAAAACAGCAAAAGGTATCGGGGACAGCGGCGTCAACCAGTCCTCTTGCAGGCTGTCCCTTCGGCGCCCCCTGCCTATGAGATGCGTCCGAAGTCATACTCTTTTCTCCCAGATAGGGTAAAAAGAAAGTTGCGCCTCCCTTACCCTGTCTTTGAAGGCGCTGAAGGAGGACGGGTTCATGCACCTGTGGAATATAATCAGATAAAAGAGCTGGCAGAATCAGTTAGAAAATATGGGGTTACAGCTAACTTTACTCTTGCACAACTAGATAGACTGGCCATGTCAGCGATGACGCCAGCCGACTGGCAGACGGTCGCGTAGGTGCCACTTGTCAGCATGGGCCAATACTTGGAATGAAAAGCACTCTGGAATGAGGCTGCCCAAGAGCAGGCCAGATCTAATGTGCTGGCCTTGACTCCTGAACAGCAACAATGGACATTTGATCTACTAACAGGCCAGGGTCATTTTGCAGCTGATCAAACAAACTACCATTGGGGCTCCTATCAACAAATCGCCAGTTCAGCCCCTTGGAAGGCGCTCTCCAAGAAAGGAGGGATTGATAAACAGCTCACTAAAAATATTCAAGGGACCCAAGAGCCATTTTCTGACTTCGTGGCCAGAATGACCGAGGCTGCCGGTAGTATTTTTGGTGATTCAGAACAAGCCATACCTCTAATTGAACAGCTAATTTTTGAACAGGCCACCCAAGAATGTCATGCACCTATAGCCCCGAGGAAAAATAAGGGATTACAAGATTGGCTTAGGGTCTGTAGAGAACTTGGAGGACCACTCCCTAATGCAGGTTTAGCTGCTGCCATCCTATAGTCTCAGAAGCGCCCCATTAATGGGCCTAACAAAAGAACTTGCTTTAGATGTGGAAAAGCAGGACACCTAAGAAAAGACTGAAAAATGTCAGAAAGGAAGAGAGATCCACCGACTCTTTGCACTCATTATGGCAAAGGCTATCATAATGCCACCCAGTGCAGCTCGGTGAGAAATATAAAGGGCAGGATTCTTCCTCCCATGGAAACACCAACAAGCGAGATTCCAAAAAATGGAGCAATGGGCCCTCGGACCCGGGGCCCACTAAAATACGGGAAGAGATCCGCCAGGGTGATGGATGAGGCCCCCCGGAGATGGAACAAGAATGGACCTGCATGCCACCACTGACTTCTTATTAATGCCTCAGATGGGTATACAGCCAGTCCCTGTCCAAACCCCCGAACCATTGCCGAAAGGGAGTATAGGTCTCCTTCTCGGTAGAGGGTCGCTCACATTACAAGGTCTAATTGTTCACCCAGGCATCATTGACAGCCAGCACTCTCCTGAGATCCAGGTGTTATGCTCTAATCCAAATGGGGTCAAGGAGATAGAATAGCTCAATTACTACTCCTCCCAGGCAGCCCCTATCAAGAGTCGGGGAATAGGCGGATGGACTCTTCAGGACAGGACTCAGCCTACCTAGTTGTTCAACTCCATGATCGGCCAAAATTGTCTCTATGGGTTAATAGCAAGAAATTTGAAGGTATTTTGGATACAGGGGCAGATAAGAGTATAATTTCCTCTCACTGGTGGCCAAAATCTTGGCCTGTTATAGAATCATCACATTCTTTACAGGGATTGGGCTACCATTCTCACCCCACTATTAGCTCTTCTACACTCACCTGGAAATCAATGGAGGGCCATCAAGGACAGTTTCCCCCATACGTGCTCCCTCTCCCTGTTAACTTATGGGGACGAGACATAATGCAAGGTATGGGGCTTATTTTATATAATGAATATTCACCACAAACTATTAACATCATGAAGAAAATGGGATATGAGTCAGGAAAAGGATTAGGATGTCTAGAACAAGGGCGGATAGACCCCATTTCCCCAGATCCAAATCAAGGAAGACAAGGCCTGGGTTTTTCCTAGGTGCCATTGGGGCAGCACGGCCTATACCATGGAAGACAGAGGATCCGGTATGGGTTCCCCAATGGCAATTAACCTCTGAAAAACTAGAGGCTGTAACCAATCTTGTTGCAGAACAATTGGCCTTAGGGCACATAGAACCATCAACCTCCCCTTGGAATACTCCAATTTTTGTTATTAAAAAGAAATCAGGGAAATGGTGTTTGCTCCATGATTTAAGAGCCATTAATGAGCAAATGTATCCTCTTGGTGCAGTGCAGTGAGGCCTTCCTGTGCTTTCTGCTTTACACAGAATTGGAATTTGATAATACCAGATATCAAAGACTGTTTTTTCTCTATTCCCCTGTATCCTCCTGACAGGTCGCGTTTCGCGTTCACTGTCCCCTCCATTAACCATATGGAACCTGACAGACGGTTCCAATGGAAGGTGTTACCTCAAGGCATGGCAAATAGCCCTACCATATGTCAATTATATGTACAGGAGGCTCTTAGACCTATCAGAGAACAATATCCAAGTTTAATGGTGATTCATTATATGGATGATGTGCTCATATAACATAAGGATTTAAGGATTCTTCAAGAGGCTTACCCTTTGCTGCCTAAAACATTACAACTTTGGGGTCTCCAGATTGCCACGGAAAAGGTCCAGATTGTGGATACCAGATATTTCCTAGGTTCTGTGGTTCTCCCACACAAGATTCTTCCGCAAAAGTTAGAGATTTATAGGGAGGACCTGCACACCTTAAATGACTTCCAAAAATTATTGGGAGACATAAATCGCTACGGCCGTTTTTAAAGATTCCCTCCGCCAAATTAAAGCCTCTATTTGATGTTTTGGAAGGGGACACCGATATCACCTCCCCTAGATCATTGACACCCGCAGCAGAGACGGCCCTCTGTTTATTGGAGGAACTCATTAAAGAAGCACAGTTGAGTCACATTGATTTACTTCATCCAATTTCCTTTTGTGTGTTTAAAACAAAAAGATTACCTACCGCAGTTTTATGGCAAAACGGGCCTTTGTTATGGATCCAAACACATGCCTCTCCTCAGAAGATTATTGATTAGTACCCTGCAGCGGTAGCTCAGCTTGCCCTTAGGGGCTTAAAGGACGCTGTCAGCAATTTTGGCAGACATCCCGCAGCTTTAATTGTTCCCTACAATTCTTTTCAAGTACAGACATTGGCCACTACCTCTGATGATTGGGCCATATTAGTTACCACCTTTTTGGGAAAGATTGATAATCATTACCCTAAACACCCTCTGTTGCAATTTGCTGCATCTCACCCTGTTGTGTTTCCCCGGGTAACCTCTCCCATTCCGTTAAAAAAATGGGCCAGTGTTATTCACAGATAGCTCCAAGACTGTCCTGGGAGCTTATGTTGTGGGCTCCCAGGTGGTCTAGCAGCAATATGCCGAGACTTCCCCTCAGGTAGTAGAAAGTTTAGTAGTTTTAGATGTTTTTGAAAAATTTCCAGGTCCTCTTAATATTGTTTCTGATTCCTCCTATGTGGTTAATGCTGGAAATTTATTGGAGATGGCTAGTGTCATTAGATCCACTAGCAGAGTGGCATCTTTATTCCAGAAATTACAAGATTGCTTGCTAACCAGACAGGCTTCCATGTATATTACACATATTAGGGCTCATTCAGGACTTCCTGGCCCGATGAGCCAAGGCAATGATTTGGCAGATAAAGCCACAAGACTGGCTGCGGCGGTTTTTGTCCCCCCACTACAGGCCTAGCTAAAGCTTTTCATGACAACTTTCATGTTACCTCTGAGACCCTACACAGGCGCTTCTCTCTCACCAGGAAAGAGGCACGTGATATTGTTACTCAGTGTCACAATTGTTGTCACTTTCTCCCTGTATGCCATACTGGTATAAATCCAAGAGGGATTTTGCCATTACAAGTATGGCAGATGGATGTCACTCATGTTTCTTTCTTTGAGAAACTTCAATAAGTGCATGTGTCAATAGACACCTGCTCCAGCGTTCTCCATGCAACACCACTCACTGGAGAAAAGACCTCCCATGTAATTCAACATTGTCTTGAGGCATGGAGTGCCTGGGGGAAGCCTAAATGCTTAAAAACTGACAATGGACCTGCTTATACTTCTCAGAAATTTAAAAAATTTTGTGCACAAATGCAAGTCACACATATTACAGGCTTGCCATACAACCCTCAAGGACAGGGCATCATTGAGTGTGCACATCGCACGCTCAAATCATATTTAATTAACAAAGAGGGGGAATAATAAAGGATTTGCCCCCTGTACCACGAGTCACCATAGCAATGGTACTCTTCACCATAAATTTTTTAAATTCAGATGAGCATTGTCAGACCGCAGCAGAACGGCATTGCTCATACCCACATCAACCTAAGGAATTGGTGAAATGGAAAGATGTGTTAACCAATGAATGGAAAGGCCCAGATCCTATTCTAATAAGATCCAGGGGAGCTGTTTGTGTTTTCCCACAGAATGAAGAAAATCCCTTCTGGGTCCCTGAAAGACTCACCAGGACAGTCCTGGAGCAGAAGGATACAGCAGACCAGACATATGAAAGGGGGCAGCGAGGTGCTCCTCCTAATGTCACTGATAATGATCGAGATCTCAGCTGTCCAGGGGAAACCACGATGGGGAATCATGTCAACGTTCCCACTTCCGATGCCGGTGATGTATAATGCACAAGTTTTTCCCCGATTCTTTGCCACCAATAAAGAGCTGGGCTAAGGATGAACAAATTCAGGAGCTTTGTGAAGGACTTGTTCTCTTTCTTCCCCAATATGGGTATGGGAACTAATTTCACATCCTTGGATCCCATGCGATTCAACCTTAACCCTTTTGACCAATGGCTGCTCTGTGGCAGTAATGGAAACTGCATGGATCTTACATCTATGGCAATGCTTAAAGGGGGCAAAAGTGAAAAGGGGCAGTTGGAGTTTGACTGGAAAGGGTCTCTTTGGTCGGGTCATAACTCTGGGTCATTTAGTTGGACTGCCTCTGATATAAAGTATCATTCCTTCAAACATACAGTTTATGATGCTACACGAGTGTGTGTCTGGCCTCTTTTTATTTGGATTGTGAGCAATAATACTATTAATACTGAGCTTGATTTAGATTGAAAATTAGGGGGCTGTTATTATACTTTGTGCTGGGATGCTGATAAATTTCCTTTAGCTGTAGTAACTCGCATGCCATGCTTTGTGCCCGTCCAAGTGGATACACCTAGCAGTATGATGCTTTTTAGAGAAAAAAGAGATTTTGGGATCCCTGCAATTATTGTTGGTATAGTGGCCGCCACAGCAGTTACTGCAGCCGTTACAGCTTCTGCCCTTGCATTGTCTACCTCGGTACAAACTGCACAGACCATTAATGGTCTGTCGGCCACTGTCTCTGAAGCCTTGGATAGACAGGCCTCGGAAAATACTCAGATATAGGGAGGCCTGATGTTGGTGAACCAACATATTGACCTCATATAGGAACAACTAGATACTAGGCTGCGAGCACAAGCTCCCTGTCCTGTGTGTCACCTCCATCCAATATGAGAATTTCACCAAAGTGGCTAATTTGTCTAAAAGCCTTTCTCAGTTTATGTTGCAGAATTGGACCTTTGCATTTGAGCAGACGGTACGTGAATTGAGAGCCGCTATTGTTCAGATTAATTCCACGTGCCTGGATCTGTCATTGGCGGAGGGATTGTCATCATGGATTGCTTCAGCTGTCTCCTATTTTAAGGAATGGGTGGGGGTGGGATTGTTTGGTGCAGCCGTCTGCTGCGGATTGGTGTTGCTTTTCTGGATGGTCTGTAGGCTCAGGGCTCAAACTAAGAGAGACAAGGTGGTTATCGCCCAGGTGCTTGTAGCTTTGGAACAAGGGGCTTCCACTGGCATTTGGCTAACTATGCTTAAGCAATAGGCTGCCGGCCAAACAGCTCTTGCACACCCGGAGCCTAGGCTCATTGCACAGGGTAGAGTGTCTGGCTTGAGCAGCCCATGAGGGATGTCGAGCAAGGCATTGCACAGAGAGTTGCCCTGTATACAGGCTTCTCTGGGAGGCATGTTGTCCTGCATAAGGGTTGCCTGCCCTAGTCTCCCTTTCCCAGAAAAAATGGCAGAGGACAGGTCGAGAGCACTTTGGGTCAAGCTAACAGCCTAATGGCGACTCTCGTATACAGTCTTAATGTTTGATTGGGAAGGTACAACCTCTGCCTCTATCCCTCAATATATGGGTGACCTGTTTGCTTGTAAATTTGAAGCCTTTTCATTAATTAATAAAAAAGGGGGAGATGTAGGGAGCCGTTAGATGTAGGGAGACGTTCCAAGATGGCGCCTGCATCCAGCAGGTACCGAATGGTGAACAAGCTAGTGTGCAGGCGCTGGGTAACTTTCGATCCCGTGGGCCAAGGGAGCTGCAGCCAGTCAGGGGCTGACACATCCGAGGCGGCGGTTGCAATCCTATATAAGGGATGGGTTTTTGGGAGTTTGGGGTCTTCGTTCTGTAAGTTTATGCTCTCCCTCTCAAGAGGCATTAAAGCTTTACTGCAGAAGGATCCTGAGTGTGCTGTGTCATTCTTGCTGGCGAGATGGTAGTGCGGGACAGAATATGATATTTTATCTGGGTCTAGACAGGCCTAGCTGCCATGTTTGACATGGATGGGAGTGTATATAGGATCCAGGGATAGAGGGATATACAGATAGTAGAGGATTTTTTTGTGAAGGTAGACAGATACATGAATATAGAGAATGAGATTGGGGAGCAAGAAGAAAGTGTATGTGCAGTTTCTAGTGTTTTGGAATGAGATGGTGTTTTTACATGCAGGTAGTTTTACTGTCCCTTTCTGTCTAAGGACACTTGGTTATGTTTCATGTGTCTTGTGCCATGAAGGCAATTCACCTCGAGGGTTTCCTGTGAGAACACATGGAATTGTGTTAGAAATCCCTGATGATAATGGGAGTGAGTATGTTCTGTAGGCCTTATGGCTAGACAAGCTGGTATTGCTTATTTTACCTTGGTATCTTGGTTGCTTGTACTCTGTTCATTTGCAGCTCTTTAGAGATATATTAGTCTCCCTATGTCCTAGACCAGGCTATAGGTAGGTTCATGTCCACAGATTATACACAAAATACTATGTCCCAGGGGAATCTGGGGACATTTGAGAAATCCCACTTTCTTGAATTTGGCCTACTTGGGGTAGAGTGTGGAAGGATTTTGAAAGGAGGGAGACTCTGGTGGTTTATATACATTGTTTATAATTTATGAAAGTATTGGAAATAAAAAACAAAGTATACACATTTTTATCTGTAGATTCTATGTGGTGGTGGTACACACATTCAGTCCAAAGACTCTAGATTAAGAGGGTTCTCTGTTAGATAAAGGCCACACTGACTGTAAGATAGAGATCCAATCTTAAAAGAAAAATCTCTCACAAATGTGATTTCTGCACATGATTTCTCATGGCTATAGTCTAAGAACTAGGGATCTGGAGATAGGTGTGACATGGATGGGTGGAGAAGGGAATATAAAGAGGAGAGAATAAAATATGAAAGCCTCTTTCTGCTAAGGATCCTTGGACCCATGACAGCCATTTCATCTGAATAGAAGTAAGTTGTACTACCTTGGATGATGTTTTTCTGATGTGCAACTTGAAATTTGAACTATAGTACCTGTCATGGGGTACTTTTTGCGCTTCATGTGAAGGAGCTGGAGATATCTCAGAATGGTTGCTGCAGAAAATTAGGGCAACATCCACTGAACACAGATGAGAGGCAACTGTGAGCATAAAAGCCAATGTTTCCAGAAGCATTTCTCCTTTCTTAAGAGAACATTCAACCCATGGGACCATAGTCTGTAAATCTGGATTATTTACTAGTACACACAGACACCTGCTCTTTGTTTTGTGTCTAGAGTGGACCAGCCTTCTACCAGGTGGAAAATCAGTGCTGGACTTAGGATTGTATTGATTTCAATAATCCTAAACCCTATGTCATATGCTCTCCTTGACTTATTCACTCCTGTTGGCCTCAGAGCCCAGTGTCAACATGGGATGTGTTCCTGATGGGATACTTTGAACAGAACTTTTGCTTTGCCCGGAGGGCAAGGTGCCAACATGCACAAGGCCAGCCTGATTGCTGGAGTAGTCACCTGGGTCTCTAGACTAAAGTTGATAACTGCTGGAATGTGGATGGAGGTGGCCTTCAGGAAAATATACCTTGACAGCTAGAGGACAACACTCAGCCCATGGTCTGTAATCCATGAGATTGGTTCTAGGCTCCACCTTTATGTTCCAGATTGGCATGAATTTCCTGTAGGCTTCCTGAGAGTCTTCCTGTAGGTTTGCCTGTGAGCCTCCTTAAGCCCTCAAAAGTGGCATTCACTGGAATGACAAGTTGCAAAAGATGAATGTCCTGAGGCAATTCAGTGGATAACCATATGATGTCTCTGATTTCCACTTTAACACCCCACCTGGTGTCATCTACATCCTTTGGGTTCTATTATAGCATGAGATCTATGAGCCATCTTTGAACTATTTTGGATTGGAGCATAATACATGCTTGTTGGGGGTTTTGTTGCTTTGGGAAGTGATGAGGGATTCCTCTTATGGCCTTGCAGGTTGTTATATTTAGTGTGCTACTGATGTCCAGTAGCACAGTTTTGTATTTCCTTTCAGCAAATCCCCTCTGGACAAGTGTGCAAGCTTATTTTTGCTGACATCAAAGGACAAAAATGATCTCCTTCAGTATATTTGACCCAGGGATAGCCTGGGAGAATCAGGTTCTTGGTGATCAAAGGTAGGGTTCTTTACTTGCCTTGCTGAGGCTCAGGAAATCCAGGCTCCTGGTTCCTGGGCCTAGCTTTTCTATCAGGATCAAGTTAAACATCTTCAGGAATTCTGCACCTTGTGATGTAACTGACTTGATATAGTGACTTTTCCTGACTACAATACCACACGTTATGCACAAGGCCATCCAAAGAAACATGTAGTGAGATAGTTCTGTGGCACTGACCACGCCCATTGGGGGTGGAGCCATGGACGGAGTGACCTGTGGAAGGATGTCGGAGGGGGCCAGGAAAGGCGCTCTCTTTCTGGCGCAACTCGGACAGGAGAGGATCGGGTTGAATTTCCCGGTGTTCATCTGTCTAGGTTGTAAGTTATTTCTCCCTGAATAAACATATATTCTGCCTATTTTTTCATCCTGATCCTTATTTACCGCGATAAAAACATATTGGTTTTGACTAAGGATCCTCAACAGCATCAATGGCTTACTTCTGGAAACATATGCACTGTCACATATTCCCAGGGTCTCAGCACCAGAGAGCCATTGTTCCTCCATATCTATCATTCTGTTAACCCCTTTCCTGACATCGATTCTCCTCATCTGCCAGGCTTTCTAACTTCCTTTTTTTATGGTTTCTTTAAGGCATAGACTTCTTCTTGTGCTCTAATGCTGGTGTAAAAAATATTTTTGTCCTGTGCTACATCCCCGTAACCCTCCAAGGGTTATGGGAGTAACCAGTCTCATGATCATATGTAAGTTGTTTTTGTATCATTGTTGGTTTGTATCACAATAGCAAGTGTGGTGGCTTCAGTTGAATCCAAATAGAAATTGCCAGAGGTCTGTGTGGACTGAATGGTAAACAAATGAGGCCAAGCAGGCCTGTAATTACCATCCCTGCCAAGATAGGTTTTACTACTGCCACATCCCCTAACAGGCTTCCTCTCTATAAAGAAGGGCACCATTGAAGTTTGCATACTCTTTTGTTTTTGTTACTAGCTCATATTGACTTAAACCCAGGGAGAAATCCCAGGGCATAATATGGAAAACCCCCTTGATTCTGCCCGCTCCAGCTATAATCTCTGCTGCTACAATATTAAAAGAAGTTTATAAATAAACACAATAAACACAGGTAACTATGTGTGGCCCTAGAACACCCCCGTCCTCTCTCTCTCTCTCTCTCTCTCTCTCTCTCTCTCTCTCTCTGTCTCTCTGTGGGTCCCTATGTGTGTTTGTGTTGGTGTCTGAGATATGATCTGTGTTTGCTGGGCAGTAATTTAGTTCTGTGAGAACACACATGCAGTTGCAGAGAGATAAAAGTAACAGCTATGAAGGCTTATGCATGGTTGAAAAGAAAGACAAGAGGGAAGTTGGAATGGAAAAGCCATGGAGAGACTGGCAAACAAAGCTTGTGCTAAGCCAAAGCCATATATTGAGACACATTTCCAACTCCTGTTTGAATGGCTGCTAACAATTGTCTCAAATGAGCTTTGAATATTTATTCTGTACATATCATGTTAACAACTGTAGACCAATCCATGCCTTAGGATATTAACATAGCCATTAGGGACATTAGGACTTAAATTAGCATGGACTGATCCTAACCTGTTGAAATTGAGACAATGCTACTTCAAGTCCTGTAGGTAAATCTAAAGTCAGTCATG